ACACTCTATCCACTGCAGCACCTAGTTCCCCTACTTCTTAGGATACTTAGTGTTATTCCAGGCTCGCAGGGATAGCACTCAGGCTAGGGATCTACAAATTTCACTGCTATCAAAGTGGTCTAGCCAATGGCCCCAGTCTGAGCTGTAGGTGAGTTCTCTACCTGGGTTTCAGTCTTAGTAACAGAAGAACACTGCTAGACTCGGCCTTTATGAGCCAGGTGGAAAAGTTTGCTGGTTCAGAGTTATAGAACTGTAGGCTCCCCTTTGATCTGAGATTCCTGCTCTGATTATTCTTCTGTAGGCTGGCCTAGATGCTAGAACTGAGACCCGGCTTGGGGGTCTAAGCCACATTTCTGCTGTTTGCTTCTGAACTTCTTCCTCTCAGCCCAGAGACCCCCTACTTAGGAACACCACCTCAGGGCACAAATCCTCTTCTTCAGTCCACCCTGTAGCTTGTTCCATTCATATATGTCTGTGTTTTTACATCAACACCAAATGGTTTCGGTGACTAGAAGGGCTATTCGCCCTTCATTCCTATCCTTTTTTCATTTTTCCCTGATACTCTAGATATTTTGGTTTTCCAAATGAATTTTGCAGCTATTTTATCAAGTTCTGTAAAGTATCCTTTCGGTAGCCTGACTGCCATAACATCAAACCTGTAGATTAAATTTTAGTAGAACTGCCATTTTGATTATATTGACCTGGCCCAGTCGTCACACTGAAGATTCCTCCAGCTATTTAATTTGTTGTTTCCTGAAAGTATACTTTGTAACTGAATCTATACAAGCATTTCATGTACTCTGGCAGACTAATCTCCAAATATTTTATGCATTTTGTATTTACTTTGAATGAGATTTCCCTTCCTATTACTGCTTCTTGGGTATTAGTATTATATGAAATGCTGTAGGGTTTTGTGGATTTATTTTGCAGGCTGCAACTTTGCTCTAGCTATTGATTTTTTTCAACTAGTATCTTTGCTCATCCCCTAGGACATTCTAAGTAAATTATCATGTCATCCATAAACAAAGAAGGTGAAAGGAAGAAGAAAAGCATTTATTAAGCACTTACTATGTATGCCAGGCATGGTGCTAAGCATTTTATAAATATTATCTTATTTGATCCTCACAACAATCCTGTGAGGTTGGTGCTACTAGTATCCTTTATTTTACAGGTGAGGAAACTAAGGCAGAAAGCAGTTAAGTGATCTGCACAAGTTCACATGGCTAATTTGAACTCAGATTTTCCTAAGTTGAGGTCAAGCTAAATTTCAACTCAAGTTTTCCTGACTATAGGCCCAGCGTTCTATCCACTGAACCACCTAGAAGCCACCAGTTATACATACCTTTAGCTTTTTTTTAATGCCTGTAATTTCTTTCTTTTGTCTTATTTCTATTACTAGCATTTCTAGAACTATGTGAAATAACAGGCGGAAAGTGGGCAGCCTTGCTTTACTTCTGTACTTTGAGAGGAGTGTGCATCTGTGCTTTACAACTATATATAATATGAAAGCTTCTTGCTTATCTCCACTGAATTCATTGACCCTTACTTATGATTTGGGATATCATTTTTTATAATATTAAAAAAAAGTCCCCTCTTCCACAATACTTTGCAAGGTTTTTTGTGTGTTTTAAAGCATAAGTGACTTATACTTTGCCAAAGACTTTGTCTCCACCAATTGAGATAACCATGTGGGTTTGGATATCTGGATAACATAATTATGTTGATTATTTTCTTAGTGTTGAACCATCTTCACCCTCTAAAGAACAGAGAAGCTTCTGTTTAATAAGTGTGAAGCACAGGCTCCTAAATAATCTGAAATAATACAGACAGAAAAACACCTGTGGCTGTGAGAGTTATGCTACATGGCTATTTTTAGGCAACATGATAATTTTTTTATGTTTATTTTATTAAAATATTCTTATTATTAAATACTAAAACTGATTTCAAACTATTCTAACAAAGTAGTAATTATCAAACTACCTCTACTGACTTTTTTTTTTAAAAAGTAGATCAGTGGAATGGCCTAGAAAACCAAGTCCTCAAAAAAGATGCACAAAACAGTAGAGTGTCATAAAATTAAGACTAAAAGCTATGAAGGCAAGGCCTTTTTAATTTAAAAAAATCCCAATGGGAAAACTGAAAAGCACTCTAAGCAAGAATAAGTTTAGATCAACCTGTGAAAACCTATTCCTCAATAAATTCCAACTATATAAAAGATGTTAATATAAGAAAACCATAACCCCAAATGAGAAGAGACTGAAAGCTTCTTTCTTTCATAATAAGTTTGGGAGGAAATTCATAACCAGACAAAGGACAGAATAGATGATAAAATAAAAAAGACAATCTCAATTAGAGAATAATTTTAAAAATCAGAATAATTGGGATAAATTTGAAGGATGAGAGATCTTGTCATCAAATTGTTCTGTTATAAAGTCTGACATACAACATCCATATGCAGTTGACACAAATATACTCAAAATTCATCCTCAGACCTAGATGGATGGACTTCTGCAATTCCTTTGAACATCGTAATGCTTTGATACTGCCTAGTTATTTTTCCCATTGTACCACAAAGCCTATCCACATGGATACAATCAAAATTCCTCTTACATGCCTCTCTCAAGCAATTTTCATAATCTAATTTATAATAAGGAAGCACCGTATCTGCAGTTTTGTCTACTCTCTTCCTGCTAGGTGCAGTTAAGTTGCACCATAGTGCATAGAGCACTGGACCTAGAGTCAAGAAACCTAGCCTCAGAAAGTTACCGCCGTGTGACCTTGGGCAAGTGACTTAACTTCTGTCTGCCTCAGTCTCCTCAACTCTAAAATGGGAAGAATAATTTACCTCCCATGATTGTTATGAGGATAAGATGAGACAATTGTAAAAAGCACTTTGCACAGTGCCTAGTACATAGTGGGCACTATATAAATGCTCATTCCCTCCCATCAAGGAAATGAAAATTAAAAAAAAAAAATTAAAATTCTGCCTCACCTCACAGCCATTGAACTGGTAAGGATATTAAAAAATAAGAAAAATCATTCTTTGAGAGGCTACAGGAAGACAGGAATGCTAATCTGTTGCTGATGAAGTGGCAGAATTTTTTGAGCTACTGTGGAAAACAATTTTAAATTATACAAGCAAAGTTATAATTGTTCGCACCCTCTAAACCAGACATATCACTCTTGGGTCTGTGTACCAAGGAGGTTATTAACAACAGACTATACACAAATGTCCAAAGTTGAAAAAAAAAAGTGTGCCTAGCAATAGGCAAATGGTCAAACAGATTATGACATGTGAATGCAAAGAAATATTACTATATTATAAGGAACAACAAACATAAATCCAAAGACATAAGAAAACTTGTACGGACAGTTTACGACCATGACAACCACCACCACCAAACATTTATATAGCACTTACTATGTGCCAAGCACCATGCTAGGCTCTTTAAAACTATTATGCAATCATTTGATCCTGGGAGGCAGGCGCTATTACCTCCATTTTAGAAATGAGGAAATGGAGGCAAAGTGACCTGCCCACGATCACATAGCTAATGAATGTCTGAGGCCTCTCTCTCCAGGCTTAGCGCTTTATCCACTGCATCACCTAACTGAAGTTCAAGGACATATCCCCTTCTTTCTGTGACTTCTTTTAGGGAATGTACTTTGCAAAAATTTGGTGGCAAGTATTTTTGGCCACATGGTAGGCCTTTAATAAATGCAACTAAATTCAATTACCTGTTGTGTCAACACACAAGATAATAATGAATTTTTTAAAAATTAAACCTTTAAACATAGCCTCTCGTAGTCTGGCCCTTTTGAGCACAAAAGTATTGTCTACTCTGTTCTCTCCTTGATCCTATTCCTTCTTGGATGCCTCCTCTGACCCTGGGCTTTCAAAGGCATTGGCAAATGCAGATTCTACCAAACTAGAAAGGCTTCACATATAGTGCCACTGACACAATGTCTGCTGCCTGGGGACAAGTATAGAGAAGCACACTGAAGATATGCGACAGTAGGCTTCAAAGTAAAGCATTTCACAACAACCCAAGAACCAGTCATACACAAAGGTGCATAGATTAAAAATAATTCAATCTAGTCTAGCGGTAGCTATCTGTTAGAATTTGTTGAAGGAGTCAGGATATTTGAAATCTCATTCTTACTCCTAATGTCTGAGGGCAAATAACTTAACCTGACTTCTCTTTGCTCTTTGAGTCTGTAAAATGGGGGTGATAAAAACATTTACAAAGCATTTTACACAAATTTCTTTACATATATTATCTCAGCTGAACATCTCAACAACCTTACAAAGTAGGTAGTGGTATTATAATCCTCATTTTACAGATAAAGGAAACTGAAGCACAAAGTTTAAATGCCCTGGTCTAAATTATGCAACCCAGGTCCTGTGATTACATCACAGTATTAGCTATACTCACATTACAGGAGTGTCCTAAGTGACACTTAAAATAATGTCTATAAAAGGCTTTGAAGAAATATAAAACATGATACACCTGTAAGATATTGTTATTTTTCCACTGGATTAGAGCAGAAGGAAAGATGTACTCCAAAGCCATATATACTAGATCCTTGCACCAAGGAATAGCCTAATGTTGCTAAGCCCCATTGAATAGAATCCTACAACAAACCTATCCTCCATCAAAGATGACTCTATAATAACAGAATTAGAACACATCTACATTATTTTAATATTTATTTTTGCCATTGTTCTTTCCACTAGGTGCAGATAATAAAAAAATGAATATATTATAAAATATAGAATATAAATAACAATTGTGCAATTGTTTTGAAACATATAGATTATTTAATATCTCATTAATCAGGAATAGAATTAATGAATAATTTATTGACATTCATTTTACCAGTAATATGTTTTAACTTATGTTCTATTTCATAATCATAACAAAACATTCTTAATTGTGTAGTACACATCTTTTTTTTTTTAATTACAAAAAAGGTTCAAGAAAACTATGCAATCCTACCTTTAGTTTGAATTCAAGTTGTGGCATAACAGAGAGCAATAAATGAGGATCTATGGCAAAGAGTTCCTGTATCAGATCAAATACATGTTCTGATAAATCACTTACTGAAGACCTTCCCAAAACCAGAACTTGGTTGAAAAACTGTAAAAAAGTTAAAAAAAATTACCTCATCTTAACACAGCTTGCAAAGTTTTCTTAAATAATGCAGTAGATTTTGGCCATGAGAATTAATCAAGGAAAGGTGACATTAAAATATTCAATGCAGTTCTTGTTTTGGCAGCAGATATACTAAAACACGCAAAACATTACTAATAATCAACAATTTGCAATTCTACCACGTAACAGAACATTGCAGTTTTGTTCTTAAATTTCTAGCATATAATGGAACAGATCTTATACTTGACTCATTTAATACCAGACTAAAATCCTTCACAAAGCCTATAAACAAGTATTTTGACTCAAAAGAAAAAAAAATGCAATGTCTACATAAAATCCGATTACAATATACATCGGTATAGCAAAGATATATGATTATGTTGGCTTAAGAATGTCCTCCTTTACAGGTAAGTTATCAAGAGTTACCTGAGTGTCACAGAGGTTCAGTGATTTGCATATGGTCACATATTAAGCATTAGTGTCAGGAGTTGAATTTTTGCACAAATAAACGGTCTTCTTGACCAAAAGTTCAACACTCATTACACAAAGCTGTTCTAACATCATTACAAAGAAAGTTTCCATAAAACAAGGTTACTAAAGCAGGAGAAATTTTTTGTTGATCTTATTACAAAATTAAATAATGAATAACTACAACTTTTTTTTCCTGATCTATGTCCTTGGAACAATCTAAGAACATTTTTAAAAAAAGTATTAGTTTGCATTTAAATACAAAGAAAGGAAAGCTAAGATCTTTACACTTTCTTTGTTCTATCAATTTTCATCGCTTCCTATCTCAAACATCTAGAACTTGGAACATTAGTCCTTTAAGGCTTCCAAAACATTAGTTCCTACTTCATTAGTCCACAACACCCCACTCTAAAGATACAGTGGCTAGAAAAAGTAAAAGGTAGTGAAGGTAATAGTAAGTATATAGCCAAAGTACTTTTCATTTTTTAATTCACTAAAAAGAGTTAAGGTATTATCTCTGTTTTATTTTTGAAATAAAGTTAAAAGGAAATATAAAAATTCTCCAGGCTATGAATATGATTTCTTGCAACATATTTATGTGGACAAAATTATACATGAAGGAGTAATTTGTAAAATTCTTGGAATTCCTTATAAAAAATTGACTTCTTTTCCATTCCTGTTAGTAGATTTTTTAATGTGAAATAACATTATAGATATTATCCTCAACTTTCAGCTAAAATGATCAAGACAGTGATATATAAACAAGAAACCACAAATATCCAACATAACTGTATTTGTCTTTGAAAAGTTATTATACTTTATGTAATATAACTTCAATCTTAAGAAATTCATTACAATGAATTTTATTACAAATACTATGATCTTAAGCTTATGTAAGTGAATTGCTTTAAAACCTTAAATGTTAAGTTTCATACATATAATACAAGAGTGGAGAATGTTTTTTTTTTCCTATTGATGGTCCTGAATCAAAGAAAAAAAGTAATCACAATCACATAAGTAAAAATTTTTGTTGTTTTATAAAAGGAGGAAATATGAAGAGCTTTATTGATCAATCTTTATCTGAAGAACAGTGCATATGAAATGTGATTTAATAAATGTAATAAAACAAAATAACAATATCTATTATATAAAATTAGAAGGCTTTTGTACTGATCAAATCAACATGGATAGGATTGAAAAGGATACAACCTGTGGGCAAAAACTTTTGCATTAAGTGATTCAGATCAAATTCTAACAATACATCACTTTATATCTAACAAGCTGGATAATATGCTGAAAGATGGGAAAACTCATTGTTGGAAGACAGGTTCAACTATTCTGGAAAACAATTTTGAATCATACAGAAAAAGTTGCCAAACTCTTCATACCAAGGAGGTTGACATCAAAAAAACTAATGTGTATATAAATTTCATAAGTAGTCTTATACAAAAAATTGGATACAAATTATTTGCTTGGGTGTTTGTCAAGAAACACTTTTCTATCAAAGCAAAATGTATGAATAATTTTTGAGATGCTCAGAAGGGATCAAATCCTAAAAGTTCAAATTTATAAATTATAGATTAAAAGTTGAAACAGGTACATACATTAGCAATGGATGCCTCAATGATCTGGACTGTTCTTTTCAGTAAGACTTTTGCAAGATCAAATGCTTGTTTATTTAGGTTCTGAAATAAAGAATGAAAAGGATTCACAGTACAAAAAATGAATGCAATTTGATGGAAAATACCTTCTATTGATCTGGAGTAAATATCACCATGAGAAAATTCCATTCTTTCCATCCACCAAAATATCAAGTACAACATTAGTGGGCACAGATATTCACTCATAATCAAGTAAATGAATCGTATAAAAAAAAGTTAACTTTCTGTTCTCCCCTCTTTTATCCAAATGGCCAAATGAACCTGAATGCAGAAATCTGATAAACCAAACCATGAATCCAATTTGAACCAAATATAAATCTTTTATTGAGCTGAAAGCCAAGCCATTTGAACTACTAATAAATTGTACCTATTTCCTACATCTACTAAATTAGAATACTAAAATATTTTTTATCCAAACTGACATTTCATTTATTTTTGTAAAACGCGGCTTAAAAATCATTTGCTATTACAGATTAATTGCTCTTCCATTCTTAGTCCACATTAATTGCTCATCTTATCTTTCCCTATGGAACTAAATGTATCAGACATCCAACTGTTCTCCCTCTTAGAACCTGATTCAAAGCTCCAGGGTTTCTTTCTTTTGAATGGCTGCCATGCTAGCTTGTTAAAGTATATTGAAGCTAATATTCCTAAAATGTTAGGTCTCAGGTGAAAACAGGTCAGGCAAGTCACTTAATGTGTTTGGCCCTCAGTTTCCTCCTCTGTAAAATGATATGGTTGTATAATATGAACTCTAATATCCCTTCCAGCTCTCTATGATACTATGTCTTACATTACCCTTAAAAGTATATTTCACTGACAATTGTAAACTCTCTAATCCAAAGTCTACAAGCAATAGACTATATTCACTGAAACAAAACTCATTGAGTAAAACCAACCCATATTCATTCCTGAAATAAGAATCTGAGTCTCAAAGTACCTCTTAGAAGACCCCAAAGTTGGTTCCTCCTCACACATCCCTTTCCATAATTTGCTGAGATTGTTAGCATGGCGTAGAACAAGGTCAAGAGAAGCATTCCACTTCCCACTGTGCTCAGACACTGTCGAGCACTTAGCACTAGCTTAGAGACTTGATCACCTGAATAACACACATCCCATTAGCTCAAAGCTTTAGGGGAATGAAATGAAAAGTTGTTCTTCCTCAAATAAAGGTAGATTCCTGTCATTTGCCTGGAGTTGGCTCAAAAATCAGAAGCTAGATTTAAAGTTCTCTTACATTTAAAAGAAAAGAAACTCAGATCTAGCCTTTAAACACAGCACAAAAATACTAATACCTTTGACAGAGTTAAGGAAAGATATATAGTACTTAACACAATCAGATGCTTCCCTCCTACTAATGAAATCCAAGAAAAAAAAATGAAACTTTGGGAGAGAAAGGTAACCAGTTGACTTTTAAATCCTTGATTTACTGCTGCAGAGAAGGCAGACCTGAATACAATATGGTCACAAAACTTTCAGTATCACAAGGGCCCAGGATAACCGTGTACAGTTGTGTGAGGGGGGAAAAAAGAGGAAAAGAGATAGAAGGGTGTTAAAGTCTAACTTAGCCTACTTTTGAACTATGCCATGACTTGTTCCTATGTTAATCCTCTTACCCTCACCATACTATTGCTCTCTCCCCTATTCTGGAACATAAAACAAATATATGAGCAAAAGGCAAAAACAAGTGTGCCATGAAATGTGAAGTAATACATCCATATCTTGGAGTTTAATAAGAAAAAGAGTACCAACTTTTTTATTTGGGTTAAAATTAGTATTTTCTCTGCAGAGAAGGTTGGAATACTGTAGAGATAGCATTCTTGATTCTGAAAAAAAAATATTTAAACACAGTATTTGTTGGTTTGGAATTAATAAGGTATTAAGTTACACTAAGTTAGCTTTATAATACTGGTAGCTTTTCCTTTTTTTGTGGATGGGGGAAAAATAAAGCTTGGGAGAAAGGAAACTCCACTATTAATATCTTTATAATATGCTGACCTTATGTGCAGGAATGAGGTTAATAAGAATAGAATCCAATAATTCTTGGGTTACTCCATCACCTTCCATGATGATAGAACTCATCAAGTCCAACATGTGCATTTGTACCTTCTTATTGTGGCTATTGCTAAAAAGGACACAGAATAAATCATATTAAAATTTTATTTTAAATGCAGAGATTACAACCTCTAAGAATTCCAAAGTTTAGAATAAAAGGGCTATACTATTACTTCTCAATTTACTACTCTATGTATACATTAGTAAGGCCAAGCTGTTCTGATTTCAACTGCTCTGCTTACTTTCTCAACCAACTGACTATTATTCTGCAAAGAGGCAGTAACTTATGAAAGAGGATCTCTAATTTAGTTTCCCCAATCCATATTCAAGTTGAAAGTAGAGTTTAAGTAGGATTTATTTAAACTCTTCTTGCCCCAGTAGCCCCAAAGTATGAACTAGTGAACATAAAGTCAGTGACAGGACAGCTTTGCTTAGGCTGGATCTGGGTTCTAAAAGTATTTATTTAATTCATCCATGGCACAAAGTGAGGAGACAAGAAAAAATATTGGTAAGGCAGAAAGCAGGACAAGGGAAACTAATTTTCTAATTCCTTCCATTGAATTTCTTCTTTACTATAATTGAAATACTGAGAATTTCCAGAAAATCAGACCTATCCAGATTCAAATCTGCACAAAATTGCATTGGATCAAATAGAAATGAGTTACTAATGCATTAATAATTGCATTAATGCTGAAAATTAAAAGTTTACCACATATAGCAAAAACTTCTTACCTGCTCTTTGTCACTTAAACTAGACTTCAAAATAACATGATACAACATAGCACAATGGAAAAAGCAATGAATGTAGAAGACAGTTCACTTAATTATAGATAATAAGACTGTAGCAACTTATAAACTCTCAGAGTCTCTGTCTCTGTTATTATATAAAAGATTAATTTATTTTCATTGCCATTCCTTCCCCACCCCCCCAGTGTAGATCTCTACCTTACAGGGTTCTCACAAATAATGGCCATTTATACCTGTAAGTCATTGCCAGGACTCACACTACTAAAAGGAGTACTGTGAATTAACTTCATTAACTAGAATTTCAAGCACCATCCTCCAAAGGCTGTATTATCAAATCAATTCTGTGTTTAAAAAAAGTTCCCTAACAATAATTTTTTTTTAAATTTAAGACATACAAAGAGATTTTAAGTGAAAGAAACAACAACATTTAGGCATTTTAATTTCTGTTTATCAATAATTTATGAGGAGAAGAAAGGAAGTATTTTTCCAAGAAAAATAATAAAATCTTGTCATGAAAGAGATTTCAAGGGAATTTGAAAGAGGAAGTGATAGTGACTTGAGGTACCAAATCTTAGCATTAAGAAAACAAAATACAGAAGTGATGTCTTACACATCAAGAACACCTTTTGAACTATTCAAAGTATTTTTGTATACACTAGTTAATATTTCCTCACAAAAGGAGAATTAGGAAAAATAAGGAACATTTAGCTAAGATTATTCACAATTTATTTACTCAGTTTAGGAATTTTCAATGCCCCAAAAGTCACAAACCAAATGGGCCATAATGTCACCAAATATCTCTTTCCCCACCTGTTCCCCTCGTCTTTGCCTTCTCCAAATGGATGCAGAATTCTGGAATAGGGAAAAAAAAAAAAGCTGCCACACCTACCTTCAATCTTGTTAGCTGCCACAAAAGTGGGATCAGGATAATTAGCAGCATTTTCTCTGCCATTTTTTAAAAGATCCCTCAACTTATTTGTTCAATTCCATCCATATCCCTCAAATAAGAAAAAAACTGCCTACTATTTTTGTAATTAATGAATTATCTGGGCCTTTCTGCTCTCTATATATTTTGCCCATATTACTTCATTTGCCTTTGTGTACTGCTATCAGAAGTTTGGAAAAGGAAAAAAAAAGTAGTGAAATATAAGTTTCTACTTGTAGTCATAATAGTATGAGGTCTGAAGGAGGAAAAGCTGAAATTCACTACTAGCTGTTTAAATTGCCTGTGAATCTCTTATTTATACTCTTTCTCTTTCGAGGGCATAAGAATCAAAGGCTGACAAGATGGAAACTCAGTGACAAAAAAAAAGATGATGATTTTAGTACTCAGTACAAAAATATCTGAATTTATTGACTCTAGATTTTAGTGATGGATACTTTACCAATCTCTGTAGCTTGAAGTGCTTCTATTACAGAACTGAGGAGAGATACTAGGAGGGGTGGATGTGGAGGAAACAATGGGGTTACCGAGGGAGGGGGATGTGCACAGCATTCTGTTTAAAAAGCTATTTCTGGTATTTTACTTGGAGTTGGGAACCAAACTACTCAAAGTTTGGCTCAACAAACTAGTTAAAGGAGACCTACTGTTTTCCACACAGGTCAATACTTTGCTACAGAAATAATAACTAAATTGGAATTTTGACTAGAAAAAAGGGCTAACTTGGGGAAGGAAGAGTATGTAACTTTGAAGTGAGGAATTCTGGACTACAGAAGGATATCAGGGAGCAAGGGAGAAAGATTTAAAAAAGGGAGATGGGAGATATTAAAAAAGAGTTTGCCTACAATTCTGCCTAACACACAGGCAACGTGCAACTAAAAATCCTTTTCTCATTTCTTTTTAGACTGGTTTGGAAAACTCTAAACCCCAGTTATCCAAATGTCCTCAACTGAGGACTCTTAAGCTTATTCCACTATCTTCTTCAAGCTTATTCCACTATCTTCCCATCAAATTTCTGCCTCTCCCCTCCAATACTTTCTTCTTTACAACTGAAATTCATGGAAACCCTGAAAAGAATCTAGAATGCAATCCATAAATATCCAGAATCTACTGTACAAGATATGAATCATACACTATAATAAAAACTCTTAATGGTTTTTAGCACAATTATATACAACTATACTGTAATCTTTTTCAGGAAGGAACTATTTCTGTAGCCTCCCACAGTAATTAGTACAGCTCTGAGTACAAAGTATGCACTAAACAAGTTAAGCCCAAAGACATATTTCCATTATTCAGCTTTCTGCTGAAGGTTCTCTCCCTGTTAAATATTTTCCGGAACATAATTCTTTTTTATCTCTTCAAAAACCTTGATGATAAACGGTATGTGGAAGTAAAAAAGAAAAATCAAGAGAAAGAGGAAATCTAAACAAAGCAACATATAAAATATATAACAACTTACTTGATCACTGAGAAGAGAGTTCTAAAAAGTTGAATAAAAATTTCATTGCAATCTTCCAATTCAAAGCAGATGTTATAGGATTTAACCCAAGCTAAATTCTAAAACAACAAAATTATTCAATTACATATATAGAGAATAATTTTACTAAATCAAACTATTGCACTTACTTTTAAAATAATTAAAAATGAAGTTTTAAAAATCTACAGAAGCACAATAGGCATGCAAGCTGAACTTTGAAACATTCACCTGAAACCAAACATTAACTTTCACCAAAACAAAACAAAAAAAGCAGAAGGTATTACAGAAAGGTTTAATGTCTCTTCTCCAATTATTAAATAAATCTGCTTGATGAGAACAAACAGAGCTTTCAGTTAAATTACTTTAAAAATAAAAAAATTAAGAATTTTAAAACTTTCATTCTCAATAAAATTTTAAAAAATTCTAACAGAATATAATTTATGTTACTAAGACATGTAAGACTAACTTTAATTTGGCTAAACAAACTGTGGAACATGAATGTAAAGGAATATAACTATTCGATAAAAAATGATGGATAAGAATAATTAAGAGAAGCAGGGTAAGACTTTTAAGAACCATTGTAAAGTGACAAAAGCAAAACTAGGAAAACAATACAAACAATGACTACAATGATGTAAATGGAAAGAACAAAAGACAAAATCGAAAGCTGTGTAATTATGGCTTAGCTTGAGAAAATGAACCTCCCTTATTGGCAGAAATGGTGGCCTCTGAGTGTGGACAGTATATATGGCTGCCCTGGCACATAGCAGGGGTTCCTAATTGACTAATGTATTAGTTGATTTTGTTAAATTGCAAATTTTATTCTTCATTACAAAGTAAAGTTTGTTGGGTAGAGTAGGAAGAAAGGTTATGTAAGTAAATAAAAGTAATATAAAATAAGATATCAATATAAAAAAATTTAAGGACTTAATATTAATTTAAATTGGGAAAAAAAGTGAATGTCATATACAATGAAAGCCATTTCATGCCTTCACAGTGGTCTAATTTCTCAACTGGCCCGACTACATAAATATGAAGAGCAATACCATTTTAATAAAGTTCTTACCTCTAATAAGTAAAAATATCTATTAAATTGTGGACTCTTCGTATCTTCCAAACCTTTTAACTGTCTTGTAATGAATAAAAATATGTCCTGCAAAACAAAAACATAAAATATATCAACAAAGAAACCAAAACAATGTTATTATCCCTTGCATCATTAATGTTGTGGCTATAATAAAATAAATAAAAACTTTCTCCTTAGCTAGTTTGGTATTGTGTGACTGGACAGGTAAGTGAAAACAAAAAATATTGCAAACTGTAGAAACGGGACTGTAAACGTAAAAGCAGCTATTCATTTCCATACATCTTTAAGTGTTCTCAGACTGTGGGGCAGCAAGGCAACCCACATAGCACAGTTTCGTGTAAAACACAAATACATATATATTCCCCTAGCATACCACCCCTAACTCTCTGCCCACTATCCCATTCTTCCAGCCAGGCAGGAAACTATTTCTATAGAATTAAGCCAGGTGTGGGAATTTTTCCCACTATTCAGCCTGTACATACATTCATGTTCAGTACTTAGTCTTGTACATGCGAGACGTAACTATAAAGTAATGAGAGTGATTCTCTTCTGTAGCTTGTGGAAGCAGAGGAGGAATGATCATAGCAGAGACATGTAGCAACATGCTTCAACTTGCAGCAGGAGTAATTTCAAGGTCAGCAGTCAGTCTTGTGCTAGCAGCTGTGAAGAACATAAGTGTGTGCTGTTTCATGTCAGCATAAAAATGAGTGACCAATTTTAGATCAAAAAATTAATAAATTTTGAGTGAAGTTACACAAATCTGCAAGTGAGACATTCAACATGTTAATGGAAAAATTTTTTTTTTCACAGACTGAGTAATGACAGGAGTAAAAGTTTTTAACTGGCACGAGAGATTTAAAGAAGGTAAGGAAGATGATTATAATAATGCTTGAAAATCACTAGTCACCTACAAGACTGATTAAAATGTTGACAGTTGAGAGTTCTGTTCATTCAAACAACCAAAACTAAATTTATGAAGAGGTTGATTCTGAAAGAACTTAAATGCCAATAATGTTTCTGGAAAGACCACACTACACATTTTAAGTGACAAACTGAAACACAGAAGACTTGACAACTTCTTATCTTTCAGGGGAAGGAAGCTGAATAAAATACTGAGAACTTTGAGGGAATCATTGATTGGGGATGAAACATGGTGTTTCCAGTGTGCCTGAAAAACCAAGTGTCAAACTCTGTTGTGTAAAACACCAAAATTTTCTTGTAAGCCCTCAAAAAGTATACATATGAGGCCCCCCACAAACATGTATGCATATCAAAATCACAAGACAGGTGATTTGTTTCCTTTACACCAATGTCTTTGTTTATGCAAAATTCATCCCACAAGGTCTAACAGGTTGATTATGCAGAAATTCTGAAGCATGAAAAATTCTGTGCAACACAAAAGGGATGAACTGTGACCCAATAACTGGCTTCTTTACCACAACAAAGCTCGAGCTCACAACATGCATTCCATCAGTTCTTGAACAATAGTATTTCCCAGCTTGATCACCCATCTTATTCACTAGTCTTGGTTCTGGATGACTTGGACTGTTTGAAAAAATTCAAACCCACTCCCCACCCTTAAAGAACAAAGATTTGACACTATAGAGGATAAAATAAAGAATGTAACAAAGACTCTGAAGGCAAAAAAGGAGTTCCAAAAACATCCAGAAAGCAGCATCATTAAAACGATCAAGTTTCCAAAGTAAGTAAGAACTTGAAAGGAAAAACCTTTGAGGTCTACAAATTTGTTTTTTTTTTAATGCCAGTCTCATTACTTTATAGTCACTTCACACTTTGCCATTTTCACTTTTTTTATTGGGTATGTTTTGTTAATATTAAACAAAATAGGCAGTTTTCAGAACTACCCCCAAATTACCCTTTAAAAGTGCTATTATGGGTGCACAGTTAATATAAATAATTAGCCTTGATATTTCTTAGTAAAGATAATGTAAGCCATATACTTTCATTGGATGAAATGGTTAATATGAAATTCATAAATTCCATAGGATAGAATTGGTAACAAATTACAAAAAGAAAAGAGCTTTTAAAAAACGATTTTACCTTGAGTTTGTCATGGGAAGTATATGGTGCTTCTGGAGCATAGATTCGGAAAATATCAGCCAAACAACATGCTACAAGAAGACGTACATCTTTGTTGGGATTCCTGAGGAAGAATTCAGATGCAAGATGCAAGGCTAGAGGGAGATACTGCTGCTTTTCATCTTCTGAGTCCTGATCCATGTCCATAAACGTTTTTACTACCATCTGATACAAAAAAAAAAGTCTAAATAAAATGTATAAAGCCACCATCTTTATTAGATATCAATAACGAATGTTTCATTAAAAATAATCAACACCATTATTATGCAGAATTTTCAACACTGTTACTATTCAGCTTAAGGAATATTATCAATTTTTATAATCTTGATTTCTACTTAACTGTTTTTTACTGAAACCTGAACAAGAATTTTTTCTAAATTGGTCAAAGAGAACTGAATGAAATACTTTTTATACTTCTATAATGTCACATAAAGCCATTAATGCTTGATTATTCATTTGTAGATTGTCTATATGGTCCAACATTACCAAGAGACTTAATGGTATTATGTTGATAACCTGTCTCTTCTCTCTATTCATTTCATATGCAGTTACAGAAGGAAAACCTCTGACCTAAATAAATACCTACTTCCCAATTTAATCTCATATTCTGCAAAATTGAGAAATAGGTTAATATTTATGTTGCCCAATCTGCACTGAATACAGTTGTTACCAATATCATAAGTTATCTGTATTTAGAAAAAGTCTTATATTACACATTAAGAAGCCATGCTCATTTGATTATGAAGCAAAACCTCTACTGAAGGAAAAAGGCCTTAAATAAAATAAACTAAATATAATTATAAAAAAGCATATTTATTTAATTTTAATTGTTCTCTTTTATTGCAAAAAGTCAGTAAACATTCTTCAGTCTATAAAACACCCCTCCTACTACAGACATAAGGTTATATTTCCACAACCTTTGTGCAGAAGGCCCCTTCCAGTCACAGAAATTTAACAGCTCATATGCATTTCCTTTTGCTGTCAGACATACTCTAAGTTAGTTTTGCTGAACTGCTTTTTTTTCCCCTTTCTTTTTTTCCCATTCTTTGTTTTTCAGTGCCTGATATCTGTTGATTCATTGAAGAGATGGCTATCTGGGATGGGGAGAGATGGATATAGTTGAAAACAACTGTGATGTACTAATAAAAATTTTTAAAAGATTTGCCTGGCAAAGTCAGAGGCAGTGCTAGCAAAATGTAGAGTTTGATTTTGATACTCTCCCATTTCCACAATGACATTCTTTTCTTTTCTCCTGGTGCTTTCTAATGAAACCTATCCAATGAAACACACTATTAGTTCAGCTTTCTAAAGTATAATTGATAATCCAAGCGCTAACCATTAATGGCTTAAAGTATGGCTCGTCCCAGGGGAATTTGCTTCTTACAAATAGGCTTTTTAAGACCTCAAAGATTTTAAGATCAAAGAATATGATGTACATGGCAGTCAAGGTTACTTAGTATAGTACACAGTAGTATAAACATAAGACAATGGTGGAGGGTACAAGATAGAGAAGCATACCTGAAGGTATAACATGGTCAGGAATAGCGGTGGAGCTGTCAAAAATGGAGTGGATGTTAACAGCCCCTATCCGTTCAGTTTAGAATGTTCCTTTCTTACTTCACAAGAAAGCTGAACTCCAACAGCAGTCCATTACCACCAAGTACTGAGGTAGGTAAGGTCCACTAGTAATTCCTTAGCTCTTGCTTCTTTTCTGTATCCTATTACTACACCTAGATAGGTAGAGAGAGGCTCCTTAGCAAAACCCCATTCACAGTCTGGGCCAAGAGGCTTTCATGAACCAAAACTCATTTTCCCTAACTGAGCCAAAAGAGGTGCCTGTACTTTGCCTGCTTCCTCCTATGTCACAATAATACTTCTACTAACAGCAAATATTTTAATGGCATAGTGGAAAAGAACTCCGGATTTGGAGCCTAGGTTTGAATCCCATCTTTATTACTTATTATCGATGTGATCCTGAACAAATAATTTTCCTTCTTTGGGCTTTAGTTTTCTTACCTGTAAAATAAGGAGATTGGACTAGATGACTTCTAAAATCCATTAAGATCTAAATCTGTGTCCTCTTCCTCTTTTCTTCTTTACCACTAGTCTCAAGAAGATGGAAGAGTAGTTCTAACCCAGGCCCATCTTCCTGAATGGGATTTGGAAGCCACCTTACTCTAAGATACCATGGAGGTTCTGTCTTTTATGCTGCAGCTCTTACTTATCACTGAGTACCCAAGGCCTGAACTTGGAGGTCTCAATGTGGAACCTACTGCCTTACATGGAGGCCCCACCTACTCCCCTGTGTTGTAGAACTATCAGAGAAAAAAAATGAAATAATATTTCAGCCCTTGTTGAGTACTAAAATACTTGAATCCTTGATCAGGTCCAACCAGGAACCAGATATATATTCTTTGCGTAGCATATCTTCTGCCTGCATCAATCCTTTTATCTTGAGAGAAAGAATATTAGTAAGGAAAATCAGCTAAAAAAAAATAAAACCAGGAAGGCATAAGATTAAGGGAAAATTTGGAAAGGTTGGTCAGTAAGAAGGGCCATTTCATCAAAGACAAGAGAAAAGAAGGAGACGGTGGGGAACAACGCTAGGCGATGTGAGACAAAGGGAAGAAAAGAGAGCTCCCAGGGCAACAGAAAGATGTATAAAGAATATAAGCAGGCAATAAAATAACCAAGAAGAAATTTCAAAGAACAAGAGTAAAAGATGTTGTCTGGGGAAAGTATGAGAGGAAGAGAAAATGAACTGGTTTCAGCAAGGGTAAGGGATGAAAGTTGAGAACTCAAGTGAAGGGTTTTACATATGTTGGGTGGACCCCTGGTGTGAATTTATGGAAGGATATGAACAAGAGATCCACAGAACAAGTTCACATGGATGGCTTTCAAGCTGTATCATTTAAGCAAACATCCAAATCCATGAGACCACAGATCCATTTGAATGTATTTGCATAATTTCTGCTTATCTTCCATTTTATTCCCTTCTCAAACCACTAAAACACAAGCTAAATTAACTTGGGACAGAGTACCCATACTATCTAAAGTTAAACATAACTAATTAAGTATTCTATGTTGTCTACTTCATCCCCTACTTTGGAAGAACCCAACCTCTGTCTTGTTCCTCAATCCTCTTTTTTGGATCAGCCCCACTCTCTGATTCACATTGCCGTCTCTGGGTACTACCAGTACCTCTCTTCTAAATTGACAATTCTTTCTGAAGGAAAGAAAATTCCAGGCTGTCAATTTGAACGTTGGCATTTCAATGGAAGTCTTCCAGTCAAGATAGTGTGATACTTACAGTGGTATCAATGTAGCTGCAGAATTTTAATTTTAATTATGAGAAAGAGTTCCAGTAAGATTGCTTGAATCCAGGAATATCTGGTTCCTAAAAAAATTTGTAAAGCTTAAAGCCATTCTTTCCTGTCCTAACAGGGCCTATCATGCCAGAGAATAATCCAGGGGAAAAAATTCCACTTTCTGCCACTAGATGGTAATAAATTCCAGTGGCTAGATATGGATCCCAAACTGGAAAAGGGCACTTAAAAGATAAATGCAGGGAGGGGAAAGTATGTAAACCTTGCCAAATTACCTCTTATACCCACTAGCACAGTAGTATAGTTTATAGAAGTTCACAAAAGATTATCTTTTTTCAGGTCATCAACTTCCCTTTTCCTCTTTCCTACATCTAACTGGCAGGGTTCTCTTCATACACATCCCTAAATCATTCCTATAATCCTAAAATAAGTACTAACTAATTTCCAAAAGTTACAATACTTCTAAAAACTTAATGTATTTATTACAAACTTGAGAGGAAGTTAAGACTAAAGAATAGAGGTCCAGCCTTGGAATCATAAAGACTTGTCACATATTGGCCACATGACCACAGATAAAAATCACAACTTTCCAGCACAGACAACTTTCTAAGACTGATCTAAGGTATTGCACTTGGAATCAGGAAGACCTGGGGTTCAAGTCCTGTCTCAGACACTTAATAGTTTTTGACCCTAATGAAGTAATTTCGGTGTCTCAGTTTCTTCATTTATAAAATGAGGGGGTGGGGAACAGATTCAATGGCCTCTGAGGGTCCCTCCTAGCTCTAAATCTATGCTCCTATAATCCCTATGACCATAAATTACAAAGAACAAAGATTTGGTACTCTCAAGGATAATATAAAGAACGTAATTTGACTGCATTAAGCGTTTTATTTCCAGGAATAAGAAAGTGATTTTCCCCCTGTACTCTGCTTTGATCAGACCACAACTGAAGTTCTGTTTTCAGCTTTGTGTATCAGAGGTCTTGAAGGACAATGATAAACTGGAAAGGATCATCTGAAGAAACTGGGGATGTTTAGACTAAGGAAGAAAAATCTCAGGGGAAAAATGTTAACTGTCTTCAAGTATTTGAAGGTATGTCATGTGGAAGAGGCATCAGACTGCTCTGGTGGCTCTAGAGATTGGAAACTAGGCACAATGGGTAGAAGTGGAAAAGAAGCAAATTTACAACAATAAAGTGTCTAACAATCAGAGCTGTTCAAAAGAGTAATAATAGGGCTGCCCCAGCAAATAGTGGATTCATTCCCCTTTACTAGAAGTTTTCAAGCAGAATCTGGATGACTACTTGTCCTATATGTTGTACTACAGAGTAAGAATTTTTTTATAACATTCCTTGGAAGAGATGGCTTTTGGGGTCCCTTCCAACTAATATCTAGGGATTGACCTAGAAACATATGACTTATAAAACTATAATGACGAATTAAAAGAAGACCTAAATAAATGTTGTTCATAAATAGGTCTGAGTGATAAAATAAAAAATGACAATATTCTCCAAAATACTTCATGTACTTAGTCAATATAATGCCAATCAAATTCTAAGGGATTTATTTATGTAACTTAGTAAGATGATAATGAAATTTATAAGTAAAAATAAATGGGAGATACAAGAAGCAGGCTGAAAAAAAGGTTAATGAAGGTGGTCTCTCAGAATTAAAATTTATTTCAAAGCAGACAGCATAAAACTACACGGTACTGTGCAAAAAATAACTAAGTAGATAAACGGAATAAGTGTTCCACAAATGCAACCAAAAGATAATCAAGTTATTAATATTTATTATTTAGCAAATTACTAATCTTTACATAGCAAAAACTGACCCCCCC